TTTTTTCTACAAATCCAAATCCTTTGAAATTTTAGGTATGTGTTCATTAAAAATAGGTGAATCTTCGAAAAATATCAAAAAAATATTTACATGAAAAATTGATCAAAATACTCTCATAAAGTTTTGAGGGTATTTTGATCAATTTATTTTCTGTGGATTATTATTTTTATATATTTTTATTAGGTGCTGTTTGATGAGAAAAACACACGCCTAAAATTTCAAGTGATTTGGATTTATAGAAAAAAAAAAATTAAAATTCAAACATGAAATGAAGTCATGGCTGTCATATTGGCCTAGATTCAATCTGAGTCGTTGGACCTATATTTTGGGCTAACAAGAAGATTTTCCCCATATATATATATATATTTAAAATTTTTAAATACTGCACTCGAAACAACTCGGGCTCAACTCAACCAAGTCTGAGCTGACTAGGCCGATTTTTCATATATTTGTATAACGTCAGAACCAATGATTTAAAAAACGGATCGGTGACCCGGATCGGGCACCTCAAAAACCAATTCGGATCAGCGAATCGGCTGGATTAAAGCTTCAAAAAAATCAGAAAAAATTATTAAAATTCATTATAAATGTTGTTTTTTAGGAATCCAATAAAAAATGAGGGTACTACATTATTAACTTTCATTTTTTTTATCAATTTTTGAATATTGAGATGTTTTTGCCCTGTATAAATTTATTTTAACTATTAAATTTGCATCATATAAAAAAAAAATCATAGAATTATCATGGATAAAATATATAATTATATATGGACTATTATAAAGAGTAGACTAATCAATGAAAGAATGGCCATTAAAATCTCTTTTTGGCGAAAAACCCTAATCCGCAAAAAAAAATCCAAACTATTACAGCCTAACTAACTATAATCCAAAATTATTACAACCTCACTAATTATAATATTATATACTGAAATTATAATTATTAGTTTACATTTTATAATTATTTTATTAGACAAATAATAACAAATTAAAAATATTTTATAATATTATCTAATTTAAAATGTATTATTGACAATTGTAAGAAAAATAGTACATTACATGATTTATAATGTAAAAATTCATAAATAAAATAAAAGATTTGGTTATCAATGTAAAACTTTATAAAATGCGTACAAATATTGGAAATAACACTTCAATTTTTCAAAAATTTATTTTTTTAGGTTTCTATAATAAATTCAGTAAAAGAGATTGTTAGTAGAAAGATGGAGATTTCAAATAGAATAAAC